GGGGAGGGACAGCCAGCGGTGGCCTGCAGGAGTCCTGCGGGGTGGGTGGGAGGTTGAGAGGGGATGCGGGGGAATCTATCTCCACTGAGGCTGAGGCTCCCTCTAGGGGTAGGAAGCCTCTCCCACAGGCAGGGAGTCAGGGTGCCGGGGTTGGGGGGGCGGGGGGGGATGAGATCATCCTTCAGATAAGGAGATAATCTTAGCGCTAGAGCCAGCCGTGAGGGGGCAGAGGGGAAAGGTCTGATCCACAGCTCCACAGAACAGAGCTGGAGTTGCCTGGAGACCCTGCCCCACCCTCTAGGGTCAGCCAGACCCCCTCTCCTCAGCTGGCACCACACCCTCACCTTGCCACTGGGAACTATTCTTCCGCCCCTCCTTGACGCGCACTTATCACTGCCAGAGCCAGAGCACCTGTCAGCAGGTCCTGGCCCTTCTGGGATCCCCAGCTTCACCTAGGCTGCTTGGGGAACAGGTTTGAAGTGGGCAAGGATCCTCAACTGCTGGATGGATCCGCCACAGAGCACTGTAGGGAGTGAGCTCCCCATCGCTGAAGGCATCCAAGCAGAAGTTGGATGACCACCCAGCAGGGTAGCTGTAGAGGAGATTTCTGTGTTGTGTTGGAGACTGGACTAGATTAGTGTTTTTCAAACTGCAGGTTGAGACCTGTTAGTGGATTGTGAAATCAATTTTGTGGGTTGTGACTGGTATTTTTTTTAGATAAAATGGGATAAAGTAGAGAAAAAAAAGTCAAAATGCATCTCATATAGTAATGTTTCCTATACCATTTTTAGTTATATATTCTCAGTTATGTTAAATATAAATATATTATTATGTTTATAAATATATTTAATAATAGTGTTATAAGTAAATATGAATATATTTATGTTTATATTTCAGTTATATATATATGTGTATGTACACATATATACACATATACATATATATGTCAGTATCATGACATATACCTATTGGATCATGATATAAAATGTAGGTCTTTATTGCGGATTTCAGTAAGAAAAAGGATTGAGAAAAATTGGGCTAAGTAACCTCTAATTATTTTTTCTAACTATAAGACTGTAAGCCTATGGATAACTCTTATTAGACTGTGAAGTTCATTTAAAATTTAAAAAGATTTTCGACTGTGATAAAATACACATAATGTGAAATTTACCATTTTAGCCATTTTTAAGTGTATAGTTCAGTGATATTAAGTGCTTCACATTGTTGTGCAACCATCACCACCATTCATCTCCAGAACTTTTTCACTTTCCCAAACTGAAACTCTGCCCCCACTAAACAATGACTCACCATTCTTCTCACCCCCCCAAGCCCCTGGCTACCCCCATTCTACTTTCTGTCTATGAATCTGACTACTCTAGGTCCCTCATATAAGTGGAATCATAGTGTTTGTCTTTTTGTGACTGGCTCATTTCACTTAGCTGAATGTCCTCAAGGCTCATCCATGTCATAGACTGTGAACTTCTTACAAGGAGAACTGTTTTGTTCATAAGTGTCCCATGTACAAAATAAGTGCCCAGAGTCCAAGTGTTGTTTTAAATGGAAAACTGTTGTCTCTTTAAGGAGAGACTTTGCTCTAAAGGACCCATCAAAGTCAGAGAAGTCTGGTCTAACATTGTCCCGCTTGAGCAGATTGTTGGACAGACATGTTATTGCTGGCATGGTAGCGGGAGTGTCTTGCATTTCTTACTTCCTTATGTATATCTCATTGCTGCTCAATCATAGAAATCCTAGGGCGAAGGGAGATTAGCTGCCTTCTCTCATACAACGAGGCCACTTTAACCACATTTGCCCTGTGGGACGGAAGCAGGCTGACTGACAAGATTTAAAATAGAGCAATCAAGCCATAAACTGAGATGCAGGGAGCGAGGTCGTGGAACAGGAAACAAGGACACGGCAAAGAAGGAGGGTAAGAGAGAGCTAAAGCGAGACTGTCTACATGAAACCAACCATATCGAATGGGAAAATTCAGATCTTTTGTGTTCTTGATTTTAAACAATTGGATATCTAAAAAATCAAGAGCATAACCAAAGAAAGGCTTCATTTTTCCTGAACCCCTAAGATCCTCTCTCCAGACCCCCTTGATATCTCCGTATTATTTCCTACTTACCTGGAGAGTATCATTTGGAGATCCAGAATTCCCAGAGATTTTGAAATCATGAGTAGATAGACAGTTTGGGGGGGTGGGGTGGGAAGGAGGATAGAAATTTGGAGGAAAATTCTAAAACATGCAATATGTAATTTTTATAATGCCGTGTAGGGAACGAAACTCTCTCCTTCCCCATCCTACCCCCCTCCCCTTTTATTTTGGCTTGGGAAATAAACATACATCATGTATAATCTAATTTGCTTATTAAATTAGAACTCGCTGTATTTAGAGATGTGATAGTCTTTTGGAAAAGTTTACTTTTTCTGCTTTTCTTTGGGGAAGTGTAAGGACCAAAGAAAAAATAAATCTCCCCCGACATTTTAAAAAGCACTTTTCAGTGTTTTACATTTTTGGTCCCACGAGGAAGACAGGGAGACACACAGATAAAGGTACACCACCCCTGCCTTCTCACACACACCTATCTTGTTTCCCCAGCAAAGCTCGCTGGCCTTTTCCATCATTCCAGACTGATCATTGTGTGTCTACTCTCTCAGGGTCCTGCTGTCCACGGTGGGTGGTGAGAGGCAAGAGGACAGAACAGAAGGGGCAGGCATCTGGCCGGGTGGCCTAATTTATGACAGGGCACAGGCAACCTGAGAGTTCAGAGAACAAACCAGTGAATGTGAGTACAGAGAAAAGAGCTGAGCGCAGACTCTGGGGTAAAAGACCTGGCGGGGAGGGGGATGGGCAGAGTGCAGAGTTAACAGTGGATCATTTGGGCGTTGGTGCCCAGAAATCCAGACCAGGTAGGGAGCAAGGTTCAGACTGAGTATGTGGAAATAGGTGGATAGACACGGTCTGCTGATGGCCCAAACACAACTGGGCTATAGATCCCAGGACGGGTCTGTCTGTTTCCTAAACCTGCCACGAAACCAGATATGTATGGACTCAACAAAGATTCCATGAGTCCCTCCTGGAAAAAAAACTACTCCAGAAGTAGTCTAGCTCATCAAAAAGTTTTATCAAATTAAAGAACTCAAGTACAAAAAAGACAGGCTATTGATAATGATCACCAAGAAAGAAAACACTAGAATTTAGTCATTGTCTAATTATAATCAACACGTTCATAAAGCTGAATGCAAATGTCAAATATCTTGAGGCTGGGGAATAGATCTATTAAATTCATCATTGTATTTCTCCTTAGTACCTCACCTAGTGCATATAGTAGGTTCTTCGTAAATATCTGTTGAATGAATAATGCAAGAAAGAAATCAATAATGATACTCCAGAACTGAAAATCCAAGTCATTGTGACAAAATCATTTTTGTAGGGA